TTATCATTGCAAATAATTTTGAGCTGTTTTATCATGTTTATTTTTCATCTTGTGTTCTTTAATTTGCCTACAGATACCCTTAATGGTGTCTTCATGTGGAATTTAGGATTGGTCATTATAAGCAAAAACTAACATTAAATTTCTAAAAAAATAAAAAACAAATTTAAAAAAAAACTAGACTCGTACATAATCCAACAGATAAGTTTAAACTCTTGTATTTCTTCAGATTGTTTTGCTGCTTAAAATTTTATCTTTGATGAAATACATTTTGAATTCCCACTCTTCTTTTTCATTCCAACCCTAGCTTCGGTGGTATGATGCTATGGAGGACAGCCACTGCAAGGGCTACCTGGACTTGTCAGAGGTCACCTCTGTGGGCACATCCAAGAACTTTCAAGGTGCTCCCAAGAGAGCAGAGGACAACTCTTTCTTTGAGGTAAAAAGGTTTTTTTAATGAGACCATTTCTATTTGACCAGTGCATGAAATATGAAAGGAAAGGTCCAAGTGGTCTATTTATTTCAGTACTGTCGTGGCTTTACGCTAAGATCTAGTCTAAGAACTAAGTTGTACTTCTTTTACAAATGCCATGTTTTAAAAAGGTTTTTATCTGCTTTTTACTGCCATTTTAGACAGTAATGTCAGATCATATATAATGCAATGGTTCCTCTTTTATTTAACATTTGTTTTCTTGGAAAAAAGATCGATTTAGGAAAAGAATTCAAATGATTGTCATTATTTTCACAGATGAAGACAGTGAAGAGATCGTATGTATTTTGTGCACCAAATGTCCAAGCATCTCAGGAGTGGATAGACAAGCTCAATAGCTGTATACAGTAGAGAACATAGAGGAGAAAATATCACAATGCAGGAACACAGTGCATCAATGCAGTAGAACAACACACCAGGGCCAGTTTTATAATGCAAATAAAATTCATTTCAAGGATTGGATTCCACATTTAAATCTTAAAAGAATGAAATCTGGAACCATATCAGCATAATTGAGAAGCATATCAAGGAATGCACAAAAACCTTGAGATCTTTTTTGCACCACTTTGTTTTCCTGTCTATGGAAAAAAATGACACTGCTGGCATTTAGTAAGTATGGCGGTGAAGTCCTATTGGTTTTCCATTTAGACTAATCACAAACTTACGTTATACGTTCATACAATTGATGGATAGACATGGAGGAAGTCTCTGCAGTAATTATGGCAAGGAAAACAACCTTGTTCATAGAACATGGTCATCCTTTCAGATAATAATGTGTCCAATGAAGAGCATGACCTAAAAACTACATACAGCTAGTCAGACAGATGTATGTGAATTATTAATAAACTGAATAGCAGCTTTCCCAGTGCTGATTGTCCTATGTGGGTAGGTGGTCAGGTGCTGGCACAGCTCTTTTAGGTTAGTACCTGTAAGCTTTTACTTGCAGTGTTGTTAACGAAAGCCAATATATACAGGTAGTTGCAGAGTTGATAAACATGATGGTACTAAATATAATTTTTTAAAAACCCTGACGCAATTTTTATGAATTAAAATAGTGATATTGTAATGACAGTTTTGTCACTATTTGTGAAAAAATCTCTAGCTGACTCCAGACACTTGAAAAATTTAGAAAAAAAAAGATGTTCAAAACTGGCAATTATGAAATATTCCAACGTGTACATTTTGTATAAAATTATTTTTTGTAAATATTTGTACAGAATATTTTCTATTTTGCTTGCCTTCCTCCCTCAGGTTGTCTTGATCCTTTATGTTTTTTTTTTTTTTTTAACCTTGGGTGGTTTGTGACATGTGTTCATAGCTTCAGGCTACTGAGTTTCTGTGGTATGCGCACCAGTTGCTGCAGGGTTATATTGAACAAGGCAGTGTGTGATAGATTCTCTGGTGTTTAAAGCTGCTTGAACGAAAAATTTCTGCATGTTATGCTGTCATGTTTTTATAATTTGGATAACACTAGCCAAAAGATGTTCGTAAACACCCGCTTTTCATTGAAACAGTTAAATTGTACATCTGAGTCTTATTTTAGAGGGCATGCCATCAGCAAGCGATTAAGTTAGCATTTGAGAAGTACTGAATGGCTTTTAATGATACTTTGGATAGTCTATCATTAGCCTTAAATGGTTTCACTGCCATCATAGATGTTGTGTGCATAGAAGCAAAGCACTTCATTCTGGAGCACTTGTCCTTGACACTTGACTGCCAATCGAATTTTATTGTATGGTACATGGTGCAATATTTGTTATTATTAACTTATCCATTCAGCGCAGATGTTTTGGTGCTAATTTTTAAGCTATGCATTAATGCTTCATAAGTTCACCTCTACATTGTGAAAATCTGGTCACATTTTTATTTTCCGCCCCCTCCCCCCAAATTCCCGCAAATTCCATTGAATTTTTATTCGTAGAGAAAGGCTGCAGGTCACATCAGCTATTTGTCTCTTAGAGAATGATGAGAAATATTTTAATTTGTACTTACACTGCTACCTCTTTCCTCTCTATGTTTTCCTTTTAAATGCCACACAACTTTTAAATCTGTTTCAATTGTAGTTGCTAAGTGATAAGTGTGGTTATTGCTCCCGTACATTGAGGAAGCAGAATTGAATTTGACTTGAATTTTATTTTACTGAAACTGCTATGGGTCTTAAAAAACAAAGTAGTAAATGAATGCCAAGCTTTGGTGCATTTTTGGTGTGGTAGAGTTAATTTCTGCAATAAAAGAAGACTTCACATTGGACAGAGAGCATGATGTGGGCATTGTACCTTCAAGACATTAACTTACAGTTTGTACGTTTTTAAGCTGTTCTGAAGTTTTATATATGTACCTGTAAAAAGCATATCACCACTAGATTTTAATCTATTTATGGATTATGAATGGGGGCAAGGCTTAAAGTACAATGACTTGCAGAAATAAAAAACCAATTTGGAATGGTTAAGTGTGTCTATGTGTTCTTACATTCAAACATTATGTACAGTACGTAGGGGGCTGCTAAGTAAACAGAGACAGTTTCTACAAACAGTGTACTATAGTGATCGCAATCTATTGTGGTGCCTTTCTAGTAGTTCATAGCTGTAAAGATACTAGCATTGTACATAATTGTTGATTGAGAATTTTTGTTACTAAGTTATGATGTCCTTAACTTATATTGTGTAGCTGCATGGCGTTTTGAGGAGCTTCCATTGGTGTCTGTGTGGCAGCAGGTGTAGTGTTCACCCTCGGTCATCATTACTCTTGACCTGTGGTCAGTAGAAGAACAATATATGATGACCTGTACTTAACAAGTCTTGTGGCAATAAAATGAACAAAATTTTGAAACTTTGTGTGTACTTTATTTCATTTTGTCTTTGTGACGTAAAATTAAGTAAAATAAGGGTGAAAATATGAGATCTTATTCAGGCCTACCCAACTACCAGACTCGGCACCGAATGATCCTGAATTTCACCGGTAGATCGAACCACACAACCCATTTTCAAGGTGTGTATCAGTACGCACGCATATCAGGGGCCTTTAAAACAGTCTACAAAAATGAAGTATAGGCTGTACAATAATTTTGTAACAGGACAAGCGGACCCTGGTGTAGTTAGAGATTATGAGTTGCAAACTCTACCATTTCTTCCTCGTTAAGTCTTTTGTCATCGCTTCCGTATCCTTCCGAATAATCATCCAAATCAAATCGCACTTTTCTTTCCTGGGTTTGTTCGGGATGATTTTTTAAATCTTCTTTACAAAATCTGTAGATAATTGGCACGCTCATAGCATGGCTCATAACATTGCTTGTTGTCCTTAACCGATCACTGAAACCAGAATAATATTTTTATATAATATGAACAGATTTTCAATCCACATTTTGTAAGTCTATAAAAGCTATGGAAAACACCTAATTATTGCATACGTACTATTGTTGTTATATACATCAACACCTCGACTGTGCTCCCTATGAAAATTCAAACGATGAAAATGTTGATTCCCGTCACTTACAGTAACCATTCGACTGTGAACAGCAGCGCTATTTCCTGGACAGGAAGATTAAGGGAGGTCAGTAAAATCACTATGGTAACGATGCTAGAGCTGGGGACAGATGGAAGGGCCATGCAAGCTACTGTGGTCAGTGTCCTGTAGGAAAAGGATAGTGTTATTTAATTTCTGAGGTTTACCTTACAAGTGACATTTGCAAGACAGGTACACAATGTAGAGGAAGCGCACTGCTAGAGAAACATATTCAATGCAAATTAAATTAAGATGCTTCTTTTACACTTTTGCTATTCTAAAGAATGAATGTTATTTCAGTGATACCAATATTACTATCAATTTTGAATTCCGTTCAAGAGAAGGAGAGAGACAGGTGATTCCAACAAAGTTAACTTACACCAACATAACGATTTGCCCAGCGTCCAACGTAAACCCCTCCAACTGGCTGAGAAACATAGATGCAGAGACTATGTACAATGCACTACCATCAGCATTAAGAGTCGTCACGAATGGGACAGCAAACCTTGTAAGACGCGAGTCGATTTTGTGCTTTTCTTCACAAGCTTTAATCACGTCGGGAATCGCCATTGCTCTGAAAATGTAAAACCGATGTACTTTTAATCAAAGTTAGTCTTTTGCAGATTCTTCTAGGGAAACATTCTCAGTATTCGATTGCAGCCTGAAGCGAAAATTACCCATTCAGTTCAAGTTATCATGTTACGAGTATGTCTAATTCAGAAAAACCATCGGTACAATGTAGGTCTATAGATAAAAGAAAAAAAAAACACTTACCCGCTAGTGGACGCAAAAGCTGTCACCCATGCTGGAATGTTGGAAAAGAAGAAACGGAAGGGGTTATTTCTAACAATAACGAAATATAGCAGCGGCAACACAACAAGCTGATGGATGGCGAGCCCGGCTGTGACGGTGACAACGAACAGCCCTATTCTGGCCAGGGTTTCCTCGATTTCGGTAATGGCGGCCAGGGAAGCTGCCATCAGACTGACGATGCCGATGGGAGAGTACCTAATAGAACAAAACGTTATACTTCTTATTAATTTGATTTTCAATTTTAAACCAAAGAGGATAATGAATCTTCATTTGCATAGGAAGTTAAAATGGAAATAGATTGGTTCATTAGAAGATAAATCGCATTACGTACAACTTTCTTAATATAAGAAATACTTAAAACGTGTTTGTAGTCACTTGTTGTGGGACTATTTCTTTATAACTAAGAAATAAGAAAAACAAAACAACGACCTTCAGAATACTTGAAAATAACACTAATAGTTTTGTGTATACATACGATGTTATATAAGCATGAACGAGCACATATGGCAGACCGGTGTGACAAGAATGGTAGTCCTAGGAATAGAAGTCCGAGATTCCATATGATTAGTGCAGGTTTAGTGAAG